TCCAAAGGACCTGAGTTTCCGGAGCAGATAGAGTCTGCTCTGGCCTTTCTTATAAAGTGCATAGAGTTAGGGTTAGATGTTAAACAATAAAGATAAAAAATAGAGACAATATAGAATGAATAAATGATTATTATTGAATGATTTCTAATAACATCTTTAGATATTGATGAATAGAAATAAAAATACACTCAGTTTCTCTTCAAACTTTATTCATGCAGCTTTCATCACAACTGGTTTTACATTCACTACGAGAACAACAACCACAAGAACAACAGATGCACCGTCACCATGGTAACGCCTCTTCATATACACACTGCCATGTCTGCACACGATCACTGCGAACACAAAGAGTTTGTCCTCCATGTTGGCTCCAGAGCATCTGAGAGGACAGAAAAACAACAACTGCCACAGGAACAGCGCCGCCATGTTGGATCTGAATTTGTACAGTCTAGCAGTATGCTAAGCTAACCATCTGATGCCTATGGCTTCACATTTACCGTACAGACATGAGTGGTATCAATCTGATCATCAAGCTCTCAAAATTTTAAACTATTGTTTGTTCACAAACATCTTTGTGAATGTATATACTGTTTCCATAGCAACAGCATCGCACCAACATGGCTGAACCGTGTTGGACTGATGCTAACACGGCCAGGATACAAAAACTGTAAAAAATACAAAACTGTCATGGTTTCAAGTGAAGCCTTTAAAAATTGAGAACACTGTTAAAAATCTCTTCAGGGGTCATCAGAGGTCACAGAGCAGGAGGGGGAGGGGTCTGAAAACTTATTCTTTACAGGCAGGGTCAGAGGTCAGAGGTCATGATAGATGTTGTCAGACCAGGGATGGTTCAATATTTGTGATACCGCCACTTTTCCCAGAGGACACACATTGCTGCTGCTGTTGTTCTATGTTGTGGTACGCCTGGCGCCGCGCAGCCGTTTCCCCCGATGAGCTTTGCCAAACCGCTTTTGAAGCGACCACCAACGTAGTGATGCGTCTCAATGTGATCCATCAAAAGACCCCCAGACCTCAGACCGCCGTCGTACACTTGTGGCAGTGGTAAACAAAGCACAGGGGTTGTATAATGTTATATGTGTTAT